TAAGTGGATTCTCACATCTGCTTTGCATTGAATCCATTGTGGTATCACATGTCCTGTAGCGCCTGTACGGCTCCAGAGTGCACCAAAAAGGGAAAATAACGTCTAATCTGTTTGTCTTCCTGGAATCTCTAAAAGGGTTTCAAGACTCCCAGAGTTTGAGAGCTACTATCCTATAGAAAACAAGGTTACCTGTCTTGAAGGTCAAAACTCCATGGCTCAGAAAAGAGGATGGAGCAACTTTTCCCTAGTTCTAAAATCTGGATTAAGTGTAAAGCCCTTGAGAGAGTCAAAGTAGGAAGAAAAAGTAGGAGGGCTTCCACCTCAGAAGTGAAGTCTGAGCCCCCAACCCTCCTTATGCCCAGGAGACCTTAGGACCTGGAAAAGAATAGCTGCACTAAGAATGTAATTGAAATTCTTATAGATAATAAGAAGTGGAATGTCTTCTGTTATTTTTAGTCCTAGAAAAGATTATGGGACTAGAGATAGGTTTTACCTTATTTTATGTTTTTAAAAGATTTTATTTATTTATTTATTTGACAGAAAAAGAGAGCACAAGTAGGCAGAGGGGCAGGCAGAGGGAGAGGGAGAAGCAGGCTTCTGAGCAAGGAGCCTGAGGCAGGTCTCGATCCCAGGATCCTGGGATCATGACCTGAGCTGAAGGCAGATGCATAACCAACTGAGCCACCCAGGTGCCCCTAGAGATAGATTTTAAATTTTCTTTCTGTTCTTTCCTTTGATAGGTGTTATGGGCTGAACCGTCCCCCAACCCCAACCAAATTAGTATGTTGAAGACCTAGTCTCCAGTTCCTTAGAATGTGACTGTATTTGGAGAGAGGTCATTAAGGTAAAATTAGGTCATTAGGGTGGGCCCTGATCCAATATGACTGGTTTTATTATAAGAAGAGGAGATTTAAAAGAAGGAGGAGGGGTAGGGGGAGGTGGAGGAGGAGAAGAAGAAGAGATTAGGACACAGACCCACAAAGAATAGATCATGTGAAGACATGGGAAGAAGATGGTCATCTAGGGCGCTGGGTGGCTCAGTTGGTTAAGTGACTGCCTTTGGCTCAGGTCATGATCCCAGGGTCCTGGGATCGAGTCCCACATCAGGCTCCCCTTGCTCTGAGGGGAGCCTGCTTCTCCCTCTGCCTCTGCCTGCCACTCCCCCTGCTTGTGCTCTCTCTCTCTGTCAAATAAATAAATAAAATCTTAAAAACAAAACAAAAGGGGCACCTGGGTGGCTCAGTTGGTTAAGCGACTGCCTTCGGCTCAGGTCATGATCCTGGAGTCCCGGGATCGAGTCCCGCATCGGGCTCCCTGCTCAGCGGGGAGTCTGCTTCTCCCTCTGACCCTCCCCCCTCTTGTGCTCTCTCTCTCTCTCTCTCTTTCTCTCTCTCATATATATATATAATCTTTTTAAAAAAAAATTGTCATCTATAAGCCAAGGAGAGAGGCCAGAAGAAACCAACCCTGATGACACCTTGATCTCAGATTTCTAGGCTCCTTTGTGAGAAGATACATTTCTGTTGTTGAAATCACCCACTTTGTAGTACTTTGTTATGGCAGCCCTGGTAAATGAATACAATAGGTTACACGTTCACAGAATTAAAGGGTATACAGTGTAAAAACTCTCCCATCCCTATCTCCAGCTACCTTGTTCTCCTTCCAAGAGATGATCAATGTTAACAACTCTTATGTGCCATTTCAGATAGATTTTCTACATATACAAGTCATATATGTGCACGTTTTCTCCTCCCACTTTTACACAAATGAAGGCATAGTGTTTCCAGTGTTCTGCCCTTTGCTTTTTTCACCTAAGTAATATGTCTTGTAGCTCACTCCCTATCAGTACACAAAGAACTTTCTCATTCTTTTTTACTCTTCCATAACTGGTAATAGACTTTTTTTACAGTTTTGGGATTTCATGAAATATGCAGCCATCTATAAAATAGATACTGATAACATTCTATTTCTTAGGTTGGGTGGTAGGCTCAGGAATATGTGTTTTATTAAACACATGTTATGCTTCATAACAAATTATTATAAGTGGCAAGGAGGAAAAAAAAAAGCTCAGAAGAGGGAAATGAAAAGGGAGGGAGGAAACAGATGATATGTGTGTGTATGTGAAATTTTAGTAAGGATGGGACCATAGAAAGCCTTCCTG